GACATGTGTTGCGAGGGCGGTGGGAATCTTTGAGCCTAGTGGAGGTCGGGGGGTATGCTGAGGCAGCTGTGTTCTCTTCTAAGATGATAGGTACGTCTAAAGGGTGCAAAGCACATGGAATTTAAAGTTTTATCTATCTTGTGAGGAGAGAGAGAGAGGAGAGGTGTGCAATTGTAAATGTACAGAAGTGTGTGTAGGAATGTGGAGGCTTATTGTGTAGGTGGGTTGCTTGGGGTTTGGGGTGCTTGGTTTTGTGGGAGTGATCTGATGATAGCGGATGCCGGCCTATGAGACTAAAGGCTTTAACCGCCTCAAGGAATTTTCACTACCCATGGTTGATGAGAATGGGCTTATAGATAAGTCCTTATTAGCAATGATGTTCAGACTTGTGTATATATATATATAATTAGTTATATATATATAAAGGTAGAGGTGGGTGTAGTGGGGTGAGTGGTAGGTAGGGGTGAGTAGTGAGTTGGTATAGTTGTAAGTGTGGTGTGTTTTGATGTGAGTGGGTATTAGGTTATGTTGTGAGTGAGTATTGGGTGTGGTAACACTTGGATGTTATTTTTGCTCATATATTGGTAGAGTACTTGGGAATCTCAATTAAAGATGTATTTGTGCTGTCATTTATGTGTTATCCACATTATAAGGATGGTAAAATAGCAATCAGTGGTTTGAGTGAGATTAACAATAACATTATGATTGTGACAATGATATTGTTTTGTTGAAGTAGTTTCTTCCATTAAAAGTTTATGAATAGAAAGTGTTTCTATGTATAATGGAACAGGAATCATGTCCGAATTATGACGTGCACCGCCATTAATCCGATCATCTTAATTCTAATTAAGGTGATCATCTTAATTCTAATTAAGGTAAACATGATAGACCCAAGAAATGCACATGGGCCAAGTGGGAGATTGTTAGATTATTTAATAATCTATATGTGGCAAAAGGGCTGGTTCTAATTAAGGTGGCCCAAGATGATGGTTATTGGGTTTAATGGATAAGAGTTAGTTAGGGTTTTAATACCATTCCTCTACCTTATAAAAGTAAAAGGAATCAACAACTTAGGGTGAACACAAAAAAGAAAACAAAATAGAGAGTGTGACGGCTACCTCGAACAGATACGGTGATAGCTTGTTTGAGAAAGCTCATAAAAGAAACTCCCGTAGCTGTTGATTATTCTCTGACCATTGAGAGAAAACTTACGGACAAAAGGCAGAAAACTTACGGACAAAAGGCCAAAGGAAGAAACATAGATCTGAGCTGTACAAGTGGAGAATCGAGTGCCCGCAATGAAGGTAAACCCATAAACATAGATCTGCTGTTTGATGGATTCAAAGTTACGCTTCTGCTTATTGGGTGCTATTTCCTATCAAACAAAATTCTATGAACAAATAGATCTGGGGCCTATATACAAGATTATTTAACAATAGCATCAGTATAAGTTCTAAAGGATCATTTTCAACACAGATAGTAATAAAATCATTATCCAACATGAATTTCTTTTCCTTTGTCCTTTGCTTCTTTTCTCAATCCTTCATTAAAAATTTTTCACACAAGTTGTTCAGGTTCATTTTGGAGGAGATTATTATGCAATCCCGTAGCTGTTGATTATTCTCTGACCATTGAGAGAAAACTTACGGACAAAAGGCCAAAGGAAGAAACATAGATCTGCTGTTACAGTGAGAATCGGATTGCCGCAATGAGGTAACCCATAACATAGATCTGCTGTTATGGATCAAGTTACGCTTCTGCTTATTGTCTATTTCTATCAAACAAATTCTATGAACAATAGATCTGGGCTATATTAAAGATTATTTAACAATAGCATCAGTATAAGTTAAAGGATCATTTTCAACCAGATAAGTATAAAAATCATTTCCAAATGAAATTTCTTTCCTTTGTCTTTTGCTTCTTCTCAAATCCTCATTAAAATTTTCAAAAACAAGTTGTTCAGGTTCATGAGAGATATTATCAATTTCAATGGAAAATATTTTCAAAAACTTCAATATTTTTTGTTTCAATTATAGTGTTGTAATCAAGTACATCACTCTTCAAAATAAGAAATTTATATGCAGCATTGTGTTCAGCATAACTAATAAACATATAATCAGATGTTTTAGAGCCAATCTTTCTTTTCTTAGGATCAGGAATCATTACCTTAGCAAGACACCTCCATACTTTTAAATAACTAAGGTGTGGCTTATAGCATTTATATAATTCATATGGTGTCTTGCAATTTTATTATGAGGAATATGATTTTGTAAATGACATACAGAAAGTAATACTTCACCACACAAATTATTTGGTACACAAGATCTAACAAGCAAAGCATTCATTATTTCTTTCAAAGTTCTATTTTTTTTTTCTTCCTATTACTCCAGTAGATTCATGTATGTGAATAAGGCAGAGTAATTTCATGAATAATTCCTTCTTTTCACAATAATCATTAAAAGAAAAATATTCTCCACATCTATCTGACCTTACTCTTTTAATCTTTTTACTTAACTTATTTTCTACTTCAGTCTTATATAGTAAAAAACATGTTAAAAGCCTCATCTATATGTCCAAGCAAATATATTTTAATGTATCTAGAAAAGTCATTTATAAATGTTATATAGTATTTTTTGCCACCTCTAGTCATAGTTTGCTTTAAATCCCATAAATTAGTGAGAGTAAGATTAAGCAACTTAGTTTCCCTATTTTCAGAAGGATGTGATTTCTTAGTCAATTTTGTTTCAATACAAATTTCACATTTACTCTTCCAGGATTACTTAAACAAGAAATTAAACCAACATGTTGCATTTTTTAATATAAGGAAAATTCACATGTTCTAGTCTAGCATGCGATGAATCAAAGGAAGAATCAAGTATGCAAAAGAACTAGGATTTCCATTCATAATTTGAGAAATATTAAGTACAAAGAGTCCCTGATTACAATATCTTTTGCCCATAAAAATATTATTCTTTATCATCACAATTTTATCATATTCAAGTGACACTTTAACCCCAAACTTTCCTAACAGTGACACATAAATCAAATTTGCTCTAATATTAGGCACATAAAGAATTTCATTAAGAGCTAGGATTTTGCCAAATATGAGTTTGAGAAGAACTTTTCCTTTACCAAGAACATTAGCGGTTTGACATTATTTCGAGACCTGAGACGTGCAAAATAGCACTGTCCTAAAAGGATTATTTCACTACACAAGGTAAAAGAGAAAATTAAAGCGAAAATCCTCCCATGATTTAACTGGTTATCCTGAATTGATTATAATTTTCAAGTAAATAAGAACTGGCAATGAATCGATACAATTATCCAGCAAAAAGGTTTCTACATATAGTCATAATAAAAAATGAAAGTACAAGAATAGTTTTGTAAAAGCCTGATGAACGTTTATAACCAATCAGGTTATCAGAGTGAATGTTGCATGAAATCAAGTGAAGGTGATTTAGGAAAAATACTTGCTCAAAAGATAAAACATAAAGATAATATAATAGTTTGAAATTTTTTATTAAAATTAAAATATTTTTGAAATAAAAAAAGTAATAAAATATTACTTGAATTGGGCCTCGCCAGTATCTCGAGCGCATGGGGACAAATCCATTAGTTTGCACTGCACCTTTCAATACCCCAATAACAAGCACCTATAAATAAACAACTTTAAAAGCTCTCAAATAAGTAATGTGGGATCTTTTGAAATACACTACATTTACAACAATGTCTGGTGCGGTAGGAAGTTTTGCTGAATGGTTAAGCTTGATGTGGCAGTATTGGGATAAAAAGCAGAAGGCCAAGGTGCTAACAATTGCATGAGAGATTTGGATGAATAAAAAATAATGTGTGGAGAAATAAGGCAAGCTCAGGGGTATTTAGCAGCTTGGCAGCAAGCTTAACATTCCAAGTAAGTGTTCTCTTTAGTTGTTAATGTTGAATTTGTGATTAAATGGAAACATCCAACTATGGATCAACTCAAATAAAAATGTCAACACTGCATATACAGTGAAAGAAACAAGAGCTGTTAGTCTTGGATTGATTATTAGAGACCACATTGGCAGTTGCGCAGGTGATAGAAATGTTGAGTCTTGCAGGTGTTTGGAGTTCTTTGCTAGTAGAAAAAATTGGTATAAGGGACGCTATGAGCTAGTTAAAAGAAAAGTTTCATTTTCTGAATATCATCGTTGAATATGATTGCTTATTTACTATATAAGTTTTAAGTAAGGTGAAATTAGATACTTCTTATTTTGGCTTTTTAATTTTTGATTATAAACAATTATTAGTTGAAAATCCTGCATTATCAGTTAGTATTTTCAAAAAATCAGCAAATCAATCTACTCAATTATTATTTAGGATAATTGTTTCTATGATTAGTTTGGCGGAGTAGAGTAACAACCCTCCATTTTTCATTTTAATATAGAACTTTTCAATTTCAATAATATATAAGCATCTCATGGTTTTAAAAAAAAGAAAAAAAATTAAAACTATTAGTCTATAATATGATAATTTTCTACTCCCTCTATTTCACTTTAATAACAAGAAATATTAATTTTACTTTGTTCCACTTTAAGTGATCATTTAATATATTGAGAGTATATTAATTATTTTTTTTCAACTTTATATATATATTATATAAGTATTTTGTAGTAAAATTAATTTGAAGTTTTTAATTTTAATAGAACAATTTAGATATTTTACTATATATTTTTAAAAAATATGAAAAATTTTCAGTCATTTTTTAATTTTTGTAAAAAGATCAAATATTACTAGTAAAATAGAATTAGTTACTATAATTTAAATTTCCTTCAAGCATTCTAGAAAATCTGTTTGAAAAAATGCTGAAGATCGCGTCGGTGGGCAAGCGCGTGTACTTTTAAATGGGGTCACACATTTGAGTTTATAGCATTGAGGCGCGCAATACGTACAACAGTCCGTATATTATTCTTAGTTTGGAAAATACACTCAAGTGGCATCATTCAGCAATAATATCCTCCACTCAGGGCTAATTCCGTCATTGCAACCTCAAGTAGGTGGTTACTCTACGCACTGATTGATTCTTGTCTTCCTCGCTACTGTTTTTCCTTCCTTCCCTCTCTCTCTCAGTCTCTATAAGCTTAACCAACAACTGTAAAACCCATAGCAGAGATCTAAGAGAGAGAGTGTGTGTGACAATTCTCTTCAGATTTAGAGAGGGAAAGTGAAGAAAATGAGGGAACCAGTTGAGAATAATGCATCATCGCCATTACCACCATCGCCACCACCTCCACAAGCTTTACTCGAGAGGCTTAAAGATTATGGCCAAGAAGACGCTTTTGCCCTTTGGGATGAGCTTTCTCCTGACGAGCGAGACTTTCTCGTTAAGGATATCGAGGTCAATTCACCTCTCCTGGATCTCCCTCCCTCTCTTTGAAATTTCTATAGCAACTGAACTGATAGAAAAGAGAGTTTAGTGAATTTTGAATTTTTTAATTAACGATCTGATTAGTGAATTAATTGAAGTTTGGTTAAAACGACAGAATTCTAATTCGTCAATTGAAGTTTGGTTAACAACGACAGAATTCGAATTCCTTTTGGCGTTTTCAGGCAATGACAAATGATTAACGTTTGTGTTTTTCCTTGGCAGAGCTTAGATCTTCCAAGGCTGGATCGAATAATTCGATGTTCACTTCGTTCTCAAGGTTTATCTCTTTCTATCTAGGATGCATGCACGAGTTCCATTCTGTTTAATCATGGTGATTTGTGCTTTATTTTAATGACCGAGTTGATATCAATTTCAGGACTACCAGTTGCCGCCATAGAACCGGTGCCGGAGAATAGTGTATCGACGGTGGAGGAGAGGACGTTGGAAGACAGAGAGAGGTGGTGGAAAATGGGGTTGAAAGCGATCTCTGATGGGAAGTTAGCTGTTTTGCTTTTATCCGGTGGCCAGGTACTTCTTTTGTTTTTCTTTTCCTTTTTGGATTCTACTTTATTCTTTTTGGTAATTAGTAGTGTTGAACTCTTTATGTTTCTTGATGTGTTGTAGTTTACTTGCTGATTGCTTTTACTTTTTGTTCGATTTTTATACTTGAACTTAAAAAAGTATTAGTAGTTCATGATTCTAGTTAAAAAGTATTAATAACTCAATAATGTTATTTAGCTGGGTGGTTGCTTGACGAATATTTATCTTTCTTGCTATACTTTTGGTGTGTTGCTACTTTATTGGTATGATGTCCACCAGAAACAATTTTGATTATAGTTATTTGTTTTGTCGATAATTTTAGATCTGGGGTGTAAATGGTTCAATGAATTGTTACTGTTTTACTTTATTAATCGATTTGTATAAATTTCAACATTGGGTTTCTCTCTCTTGTTGGTTGATATGATGGTGCTTTTTAGGATCTCCACTTTTGATATTATGCTGATGGATATGTTTAACTAATAAAAGTAAGGAGTCAATTTTTTTTTTTAAAATAATTATTACTTATCCTAAAGATGCTTTGTGTGTTTACTTTTCATTAAATAATTATTACACATACACAAACACATGCATACGTGCTTGCATAAATACCTTTGATATGTTTATGTAATTATGTTTAGCAGATCAGAGCTTAATATTTTCTGGCAGACCACACTGAGACTATCTACTTAAAAGTATCCAATTTTAATTTACCATGATTTGCTGGGACTGTTACTCAGTAAATTGCATTGAACTTTTATTAAAATGCGCACTAGCTTCTCTTAAACATGAATTGGCTAGCTTTTAGAGTTATTTCACCTTCACCTAGTAAAAAAGTTAAAACTGATATTTGAATTTTTTTTTTTTTTTTTTCGCTCATTGTGTTGTTATCCACTAGTGAGCTAGACACCGGGTGATAACCCTTTCTCTTCTCATGTTCCTTACAAAAGCATTCCTTAGGATTTGAGCCTGACTTCCTAATGAAATTCCAAGCCTTGACTGTGGGGTTCCCCTTGGGAAATTGTAGAGACAACCAGTTTCCACTGTTCCTTTACTGAGGCCTGAATTCACCAAAAGCAAAAGCTATACCCCTCTTAACTTTTTTCTCGCATTATACTAAATACTCTGCTATTCTGAATTTCAAAAGTAACTCTTTGAGTAATGTGTCTTGCATCGCTGCTGCAGATTACTTGCTTTGACGTGTGCACTTTATCTGTTGTTTCCTTTGCAATTTCACCTTTATGCTCACTAAATACTTGTACCTGTTTCTAGCTCATATTTGACTTATTCTTTTTATGTATTTTTCTGTCACTGAAATATGCAGGGAACAAGGCTTGGGAGTTCAGATCCGAAAGGATGCTTTAGTGAGTAATAATCATGTTAATTTAATTTGAAAAGCCATCTGCTGTGATTCTGGATTTTTTTTACTACTATTTCTCATGTAATGGGTTTTTCAATTTAGAATTTTAGCCTGACTTTCATCTAATTTGTAATGTAACTTAACAATTGGACAAATAGAGAGTTCAAACTGACATATTTGGAAAATGCATCGGAGAGAATGAAGTCATTTCATACCTGCATGGTCAGATGTATTCCAATGATGGGTCTGGAAGCTGAATGAGAATTAGTGGCCATGATATGAAGTACCTCTAGACAGAATCTCAATTGAGAAGTGGCTTGACTTTAGATTTTTCTTTGAAAATTTAGCATGTGTTTTGTATTCTTTCCTTTACAAAATAAATAAATCTATGTCAAGGTTGCATGTACTTTTTTTATTTATGCCCCAATTGTTTATTTAACATTTTCAAATTAAACAAGTTCTTTGAATCAAAGGAATAGAAATAAATATCTATCGTTCTTCTTCTTTTGACTGTGTCAACATTAAAATCTTCTTTTGGATCATATGCACATAAAATGCATGTTTTGTATCTATAGTCTATATGGTTAACTTTCATCTAACATGATAAGAATTTTACAGCACTGCTTGACACTAGCCACATATATCTAAAATTAGGAATTTTGGTGATTTTATTACAATGTCTATGTAATAATGCCACCATGGTTTTATTTTTTATACTAATATTCATTTCAGATATTGGACTTCCATCTGGCAAGTCCCTTTTCCAACTTCAAGCCGAACGAATTCTGTGTGTCCAAAGGCTAGCTGCTCAAGCTGCGAGTGAAGGTAGATTTCAATTCTCTAGGTTCTGAATATTTGTACTAATTTGGCATGCTATGCTAATGCTTTACCACGAATAGGTTCTGGTGGTTCAGCATCTATACATTGGTACATAATGACCAGTCCATTCACTGATGAAGCTACACGCAAATTTTTTGAAAGTCATAAGTTCTTTGGGCTCGAGTCTGATCAAGTAAGAAAGCTTAATTTCTTCATTTATCTTTCAAAACTTTGCTATAAATTATTTCTTTTCAGCTCTGGCTTACCTTGGAAGACATTTATTTAATGCAGGTCACCTTCTTCCAGCAAGGCACCATACCTAGCGTCTCGAAAGATGGCAGATTTATCATGGAGACTCCATTCAGAGTATGGCTTCATTTTTAAAAGAAGCTAACTTACAGTAGTAACAGCATCAAAGTTTTTGTTGAGCTAATCCTTACTACGTCCCTTCCAATCCTAATCTGCCAATAACTTGGCTTTTAACCCAATTCTTTGATCATTCATTTTAGAAAATGCAAACTATAGTACATTTACTTATCAAACAAGTGTGAGAACTAGAGTGCTTGGATGCTTGAAAGTTTGACTAGATAATCTTGCCTTTGATAGGATAAATTGATGCCATATCCTTATTTTGAGTTCCTGCTTCTGTTTTTGGTAATTTTGTTCAAATATGCCACATAAGTTACAGGTCAAGAGGACTAGAGCTTTTAAGCCCCAGAACTCATCTTCCCTATTGAACGTCTTTTTAAAGTACAGAACCAATGTTGCTCTGGTCCAAAGCTCAGAATCCTCACTGGGAGACTAAGGCTCCTCATAAGTGTAAAATAGTCTGTAATTGGATGGGCTTCTGAGCCAACATCACAATTAGTTGCTTTTTTCTTTGTTTTTTTTTGTTTGGTCATTGTGTTTGTTTCTGGAACATATGAATATTTCTTTTCATCGTTTCCTTGGCTTGCATAGCTTTCATGGAAATCACTGTCATGAGTTTGATTTTCTAATCAGGTGTCTAAGGCTCCAGATGGAAATGGAGGAGTATATGCAGGTAGCTTTCTCAAAATGTAGTGCAACATGTTTGGTTACTGCTTACCCAAGTTCCTTCTTTCCCATCACTTCTTGGTGACTTACTGCTTTTGTTTGATCCCTAATTGTTTTCAGCTCTGAAATATTCAAAATTATTAGAAGATATGGCCTCAAGAGGGGTTAAATATGTGGATTGCTATGGAGTTGATAATGCGTTGGTGAGAGCTTTTTTCCTTTAGGTTTCATCAATTTCCAAATTTCTGGAAGTTCTCTAAATTAAAATGTACTGATTAGGGTCTTGAAAGCAGGTTCGTGTAGCTGATCCAACTTTTTTGGGATATTTCATTGATAAAGGCGTAGCTGCTGCTGCAAAGGTGGTCCGTAAGGTAACTATCCTTTGTATTTGAACTCATTTGAAAACCTCAATTTTACAGAAATTTTCTTCCATAGGCAACTCGATAAACAAACTTACTTAAAATTAATGTAGGCCCTCATAAAAAATGGAAAAGAAGTTTATTTAGCAAAATGACATCCTAGTGCCCTTGCTTCCGATATCTGGTAATGTTATGATTCATTCAATATGTTGCAGTTGTGCAAGTGTGCTACTGAAACAATCTCAAAAAGAACATTCTGGAATATTAAAAAATCACTTGTTCCAAAATTGTTGTTAAGATCATGTTCATCAATTTCGTCATGATAACCTTCTTCATAATCTCTCCAGAAGAATACACCTGAACCAACAGGTGGCAGACCTTCAGGCATTCATGAAATTTGGAGAGGGGAAATAGTTAGGAGCTTAGGAACACCAGACAGGGTGGGTAGCTTGTCTAGGGTTTAGGAGAAGAAGTCTTGGTTTTTTCTGGTGGATAATACACAATGACTTTATGATTCAATTGAAGATTAGAAGGGATATTTTTGCTAATAACTTCAAGGCTGAATTCTGCAACTAAGAGAATCCAAATCGGAAAGCATTTAATATAGGTGGCATTTAGTTATTGGGATTTAACTTCCATGCGAAAAAATACTTCTCTAGAACAATAGAATTCCAGGAACACGTTATAGGAAAGTTAAATTGTTGTGTTTGAATGACAATAAAAGTTTCCCAGGAAAGTAACATAATTGTGACAATGAATGACATTATAATATTTTAGAATGTCTTATTTTCTATAGTAATCCAATTAGCCCAACATTTACGATGGGAAAATACTCTCCCATATACATGGAAAGTAGGGATGGGGCCTAAATGCCCAGAAATTCAAGTTTCCTGGGATAGTACCAACCAAACATCGGAATCCAACTTTTTCAACCCATTTTCCCCGTTTCTAGCAATCAAACGCCCTAATAAGGAAAATTAAACATTAAGAGACAATCACACCTTAGGGTTCCTAAGAAATCAAACCCTCCAAAAGGGTTGTTGAAAATTCTTTGTGCTCTCTGCAAGACTCTAATAAATTATATTTGGTTCTTACTTTAATCAGCCTCCTAATTCTAGTGGTTATAGTGTTATATGTATAAGATGTGCTATGATATTTTGACTATAGAAGAACAAACAAAGATAAAATAGGAAAGACTAATATATAAACAACACAAAAAGAAAATTCATTGGCCTCATTACTTCCTACTTTTTGCAAATATTGAAATTACAGAACCAACCCTAATTCTTTGAACTGGAAAAACTTAAAGACAACTAATTTGTAGCCAACTACTTAAAAAAAAAAAACATCCCCTGCACATGCTAGAAACAATAGTAGAAGATAGGAATGGGGCCACAACAAATACACTAAAAAACAAACAATATGTTTTTTTGTAATTTGGACTGCTTGGGAAGAGAAGTGCATTTTGAAGGATCTATATAATGGAAACTTGATCTGGCCAAGCATAAAAACAGGGAGTTCCTAGTGCATGAGGCTCCCCAACTTACAATCTATCATACGCAACCTTTCCCTTGCATTTTTATAGAGGTTGTTCCCCAACTTGAACCCATACCCTTAGGATTGCAAAGCAACAACCTTACTGCTTAGCCTCCTGGCTGAGAAGGTGCTTCATAATTTTAATTGACAGAACGTTAGCAAATTTATTTAACTGAAGTCTTAGCTCCTGATATTCTTGAAAATTGGATTACCAACCAAATTAGTGCGGCATGATCTAGAATTGCATTAAGGTTTGCACGGCCTGAACCATGTTTCATTCAATTATTCTTTGGGCAACATCGTTATTCTGTTATTTATGTAAGCATCGGAAATTTGGTGAAATTATATTGCTTAACTGTTTAAGTGATTTTATACAGGCATATCCCCAAGAAAAGGTTGGTGTGTTTGTGAGGCGAGGTAAAGGAGGACCTCTCAATGTTGTTGAATACAGTGAGTTGGATCCATCACTAGCTTCTCAAGTGAATCAGCAAACTGGACGCCTTCGTTTTTGTTGGAGCAATGTATGTTCTTTTCTCACATTGTTTCTTGTGTATTGCTTGGTTTCTTTGGGCTGGCATAATTGCTTGCAGATGAAAACTTGGAATCATTGATCATAAGATCATAGTTTTAAGGCGTGTTTGACTTCAGGCACGCCTTACTTAAGGCTCAAGGGCTCGCGCCTCAAATGTCCTAAGGCGAGCAACCTCACTCAGGCGATTGTCTCTAGGTAGAGGTGTGCACCTTTTTGCGCCTAAAGAAAGGCGTGCTTTTCTAAATTTTTTTCCTCTAAACAAGTCACCTATCATTTTCTTTCGATATGAAGTTGTCCATCTAGCATCTGTTTCCATACAATAAATAAATAGAAGAAATAGAATGCGCACAAAAACCGGTGATGTGCTTTGAGATCCAACCTTCAGTCCTCCATCTAGTGCTCACCTCCTGCAATCTAGCCCTAGCCAGTGGCCATTCAGATACGTCTCTATCGATTTATCTTCCGATATTTGTTTTCTATTTTCTTTTTCTTTTTCTTTTTCTTTTTTTCCCCTTAATTCTACTCCTTTCTATCTTAACTCCAATATCTTAAAATTTAAGTCCTTATGTTGCCAATTATTTTTTCTGATTTATCTGTGTTTTTTCCCATGTTTTTCTTTTTTTTTTTTTTTTTTTTTTTTTATCTTAAAATTAATTCCTTATGTTGCCAATATTTTTTCTGATGTTCATCTGTGTTTTTTCCATGTTTCTTTTTTTTTTTTTTTTCTTTTTTTTCTTTTTCTTGATTATCTAAAAATATGGATGTCAGATAGCGTGTGTTAATTTTTTGTCTTTAAATTTGTTGCACCATCCACCTCATGGGCATGCGCCTTGCCCAGGGCTACGCGAGGCTCGAGCAAATCTTTTGTGCCTTAAATTACTATTTTTTTTTTTTTTTTTTCTTTTTTCTTTTTTTGATATTCTAAAATATGGATGTCAGATTACGTGTGTTAATTTTTTTTTCTTTAAATTTTTGCACCTCCACCTCACTTGGGCATGCGCCTTTGCCCAGGGGCTACCGCTTAGGCTCCAGCAGATCTTTGTGCCTTAAATTACTATGCACACGATGCGTGTCGATGATTTTTGGTATAACACAAACTGTTCCTCTGATCAAGCAATTTGTACGAGTAGATTTGATTTATGGATTAAGCCATATGGGTTGGTGTATCTGATATTGAATATTATGGAAATGAAGTATATTACTAGACCTTTCCTGACTTCCTTGGCGTTAGGAGGCAGATGAACTTTGATTATAAATGAAAAGGAGAGATAGAGAGGTGCAACTGGGTGAAATTCCAGACCAAATGCACCACCGCATTGATTGTGCAATGGATGGTTTTCCCCACTTTTACCAATATTCTTGATTTCCTTTCTTATTCTTCCGAGTTATATTTTATATTGGAACTGCACCACATTTCAGTATATATAACTTGGTACTGTTTTATGTTCCTTTAAAGTTCTGTCATCTTGAACTTTTTCAACTTTTTGATTTTCAGGTGTGTTTGCACATGTTTACTTTGGATTTTTTAAATCAAGTGACAAATGCTCTTGAGAAAGACAGCATGTTAGTATCTCTCTCTTTCTCATCATAACGTAATAAAGTTTTCACCATTACCTATCTAACATGCTTTTTCTTTCCATAATATAGTTATATATTTACGTATGGAATGTAACTTCTGCTAGCCATTGATAACTTCTCATAGTTTGAATTGGAACATCATTGACCTGTTTCTTTTCCACTGGGAAAATGCTAGCCCTTTATAGTATGCCAATTTTAATCTTTTTAGTAATGTCTAGCTCTGTTCTAGGATTAAATCACTTCAGGTCGTAAATGTACTTTAGTAAATAGATGACACAACAAGAATTATTTCAATTTTTTATAATTTTTAGAATGCTTAATAATGTGCACTGCACCTTCTTGCATGCTTGATCATATTGATTATTAATATTGGTGGTGGCGGCAGTTTTCATTAACGTGTGGAACTTATTTTGAGCTCTGCTTACAAACATCCACATTCCTGCACTTCCAGAGTTCATCTGTATAAACTTTTGATAGTTATGGGGATCTTAACATGTGCATACTTTGTAAATGCAGCTATCATCTTGCAGAGAAAAAAATTCCTTCAATTCACGGATTTACACTGGGATTTAAACTAGAGCAATTCATATTTGATGTATTTCCATATGCTCCTTCAACTGCTCTCTTTGAGGTGAATTTATGCTCCCTTGTCCTGGCTTAACCCTTAGATCTCTTCTTATACTTGAAATTTCAACTGTTCTATTGTACAGGTATTACGTGAAGAAGAGTTTGCACCAGTAAAAAATGCCAATGGTTCAAATTTTGACACTCCGGACAGTGCTCGGCTCCTCGTGCTTCGGCTACATACCCGTTGGGTAGTTGCTGCAGGTGGCTTCTTAACGCATTCGGTGCCCTTATATGCAACTGGTAACTTCATGTTCTATGTTTTTTTTGCTTTCTCATAGTTTTTTTTTTAAAATTTTTGAAAATAAAGTTGAATGCACATGTCAATATTTGGAGGGTCAAAATAATGCTTAGTTTTTAATTTTACTAAAACACCCGTCATTGAAGCTGCTCTGCAGGATAACCTGTATGCTGTAGATGGGACCTGGACTATGTGAATTGTATCATATGAAAAAATATTCTAAACTATCTGTCTGGTTACAGGTGTGGAGGTATCCCCACTTTGCTCTTATGCTGGGGAAAACCTAGAAGCTATATGCCGTGGAAGAACATTCCACGCACCTTGTGAGATTTCATTCTAGTTGGTTCCATCAATGTATTCTTGATTTGTGCAGCGGCTTTAGTTAAAATCTGGGACGAGATTTGTTGGCGATAAAGATGCAAATGTTAAAGAGTTTAAAAGCTTTGGAGGTATGATTATTATTTGTTGTACATTTGTACTAAATTGTTGGAGCAATAAGTTCCACTTTGATAGATTGTGTGCTATACTGCCATATCCATGGCGTCTCTTTTTTCCACAGCCTAAATGGGTATAGAACATGGACATTTCATGTCTGTAATTGTCACATTATTTGTTTATTTTGTTTTTTTCATTTTGGCTTTTTCAGTGTCGTTAAAGATGTGAAATATCATGAACATAGGAAATGTATTGAATTTAATGTTTATCAGTTTAATTTTATTAATTTTTCTCTTATCATGAATATAATTTTACTTGAAATTTTATTATTTTTAGTAAAGTTGTAGAATTTATTTTAAGCACAATCAATTTCATAATTTGAAAAATGTTTAAATGAAGTTTTATTTATAATATGATAAGTGAGTTTAATGACATTCATGAAATTTATAGAAGTCAAAATCAAATATCAAACAAGCTCTTTGAAGTAAACAATAACAATTGGGCATAAAACGGTGTTCATCGCCAGAACTTCTGTGACAAAAGGAAAACCTCATCTTATCCCGTACTGACCATTTCTCCCTGAATCTGATATTTAGGAGTGGGAATGGGAGACGGCCTCCGCAATCAGCTCCGAACAATAATATCTTTAAAAAATAATTAAATATTCTAATTTTAATAAAGAAAAATATGCATATTATTATAATTGTTCGAAACTTGTATTCGTAACTTATAATTCACCTTTTTTTTTAATAGATAAATTTATAATTTTGGTGATTATAATATTGAAATAAAAAAAAAATTCTCCATGGAAGACTACCCAGTCCCGACCGTGATCTTCCGCGAGAGGGGATGGATAGGCGATACACAGCCTCAACCCACCCCATTGCCATCCTTAGACCTGCATTTCACAAAATAACAACGAACACAAGTAACTTTGTTTTGCTGAATGAAGCAAATATCACGACTTGCAAACATAAGCAATTTAAGAGATAATAAAACAAGATGATCACTTGCAAATGCCAGCTAGAAAGAAGAACAAATGCATCACTAAAAAAGTTACCAACAAGCACTTTTAACGATATGGTATAACCCCAATTAAAGGCTCTACCCCAGCCAGTTGATGCTGTAAGAACTTGTATACTGATTCAGTTGTCATGGCAGCTATTCTAACAACAACGCCTATTCCCTGCGTGAGCATAGAATCACTGTTTAGCATGTTAAGATACTTGACGCACGTTTAGAGTCCAGTATGCATAATGTAATGTAATGAAATGAAATTTTTAGGGTATATGTTTGATAATTCGTAATAAAAATACAATGTAATCAAATGCATTTTTAACATTAAACATTACAATTACAAATGAATTTGACTGCATTAAGTTATATATCATTATAACTTATCAAACGTAGTCTTAGTTCATTTTTCCATTAGGTTTTTGCTTGATTACATCTTAATATGCTAAATTACATTACACCGAAGAACATTTTCAGAAAATGCTTTAGTTCATGAGCCTTCAACGTGCACGCACAGTTTAATGACCAAGTTATCCTTGAAACCATATCTCTCATGGTTGTTTTTTTTTTAGAGAACAATTTTAGCAGAACACTAGACATAGCTACCTCTTTGCATAAAATTCAAACTGATAATCCGAGGATAATCAAATCAGAAAACTCTTGATGCTTGTCTTTTTAGGATAATAAAAAGAAATAATGGTTAGGATTAGCTAGCTAATTCATAATGTTAGTTTGCACTTGCAGCACTCATTCAATGTCATAGGAAACATTACAAGTATGAATATTCTTGCAGCATCCAGATTATACACATACCTTAGGACCAAATACACTGCAGGACGCAACAAACGGTGGTTTGACAAAGCAATTACTAGAATTTGATTTTACATGGCCACTTAAGCCAGCAAAAGGCATGTGCAATTGTTCAGACATCATCCTTTTGACATTTTCTTGAACTTGACTTTGGATGTGCTTCAGCTTTGGCCTGCAAGATAGAAATCATAAATCTCATATCTACAGTTTATTGATCTATTTCCCAAACTTTAAACTTGACTAAACTGATGTAAACCACAGCAGAAACTATAGAAATATAAAGGTGCAAATAATTCACTACATGACAAGCGTGTCTACCCCAAGAGTATAACCATTGCAATAACTTGGTAGTCTCGCATGCGTTCTGTTATTGTAGCGATGCTTTCTTGCTCTAGTAATACCTGTAATAGGATAATCCATTTGAAATGAGGAAGCAGGAAAGCACTAGCATGATCGAGTTAAAGAAGAAAAATGAAACCAACGCTTCCAGTATTTTGGTAGTCATGCCTGCAATATCATAATAAAACAGAAAGGCGTCTGATTTCTTCTTAAGATAACAAATAGCCAAGTATTCTTTGGGAGACAGAAACAAATGATATAAGTTCAATTTCTTTGTCTAAAAGAATGGATGAGATTGGATCAGCGGGATAGGTAAGAGTGAATTATAAGATTCAAAACAATCAAAAGTAGTCAAACATGTAAACACAATTACAGATTCCTAAAGGACCACTAATATGTACAATCTTAAAGGACTTCAGATAAATATAGTTGATGCTGTAAAACAAAGAACAAAAAGTGGCGTGTGCACATCCATAATAAGCTGCAAGCAAGGTGAATACTGCAAAGAGAGAGATCTAGCATGTCTTATTCTAATTTGGAAACTATAAAATTTAACTACATTGTAACCGACCAATGACATAATAAATTAGCATGAGTAACCAATGATGTTCTAATCTGTTTACTCAAAATGCAAAGTCACAAAAAATCGATCCATTTTGCAATGTGCTGACATATAATCACCAAGAGGATCCACTGGTTGGAGAAGTTCAAGGTTAAAATATCATCAAAGATGGAAGTGGCTTTTGGGAATGGGCATTGGTTTCATGGGATGAAGAAGCTAGCTCTATCGTGTAACTCAAAGCCTAGTGTTTTATAGATGAAGAAAATGAAAAAGAAAAAGAAAATGTGGCACTAACATTTTCAAAATGGATTGGCAGTTGACAACACCACCAAGGCAAGAGAAAACAAAAAAGTACAGAATTTTATCATATAAGCTTCTAGAATAGCCTTCTATGTGATAAAAATATGAAATATTGGAAACAAATAGTTAAATTGCAACGTAAGAATATTACAGTATCAAGAAACAAGGGCTGATCTTCATCCAAGAATATGTTGTTGGTGCTCTTATAAAGATCAAAATCCCATTTTTCTCCCCTTTCATGACGTCCACTGGTAATCCAATCAACAATTACCAAACTTGAGTTGGAAAGAACTCTAAAGACTTGTTTCTGAGAGTATCTTGCAGTTGAAAAACAGGTCACTGGATCTGGAATGACAGCCAAAAGGGAATCACTGCCAATTTTAGCCTACTGCATAGAATAGAAGTAGCTACAATCACTTGAAATAATTGATTACATTAATGTAAAGCAGTATAATTTTTCATTTACTTTCTTCTGCCCTTAACAAACATAATTTGAACAAGCGAAGCCGAAAAATCTCAACTCGTGATAATTTTTTCCTACAAATGAATTTAATATGGATTCAAAATAACTAAACAATAACAAAAATTTAATGAAATAGAATTAAAAAGAAAATAAAGCAAACCCTCTCAAATATTCTATGAACATTTTTAGCTTCAAAAGCAAAACTTCAGGGATGTAATTGCTAAAAATACAGCATACATAACAAAGACAATACTGAAACAAAACACAACAACATTCTATCATATTATGATATTATTACGAAAAACTTTGCAGATAACTGTATCTGTCTCTGGCTTATTCAATTCAATGAAGATTATTACCTCAACAAACTGTTCGGAACATTTGGACCCCAAAGACTTGTACACCTAAAAGTCAGATTTTAATGGTATTAATTCGTTGAATTAGACAAAAATCAACTATAAAGTCAAGAAATCAAGGAAAACCACTTCTTCTATCAATATGAAAACAACCTTGGTAGAAGCTTGGGTTGTTAGGACAGCAGTGCATCCATCTCCAATGATAAATTCACATGACATGGAGTCCCCCTACACCCAAATAAAATAGTAACAATTAATCAAAACTTTCACAGACCAAAGAGGGGATGAGACAGAGTAATGCACATACATAGACAATGCCACCGCCATAGGTGAGCGTGTAAATCCAAACAGCATCAATTTTGGAAGGACCCACCTGACAAAAACAAATTATACCGTTAAATACAAGAAGAAAAATTTTGGGTTAGCTCAGATTGTTGATCTGATTTGAACTTTGAAGTCTGTATGAGAGGTATGCCAAATAATAAAAATATAATAAAAATCATAGCAGGGACAAAGAAGAAGAAGAAAAACCTTTGCGGGAATCATGAATTTGAGAGGATATTTAGAGAAGCAACTTGTGACTGTTGATCTCCCTCTTACTTTCTCCACAGTTATCTTGCCTGTTTCCATCTCTATACTTTCTGTTGCTAATTTTAGGAAAGTTTCTCACAGGTTACACTTCTCTCTCTGGCCCGCTTCAGTATCTGCGAGGACAGGGTAAATTTAGGTTTTTGGGTTAGATTGAGATAGGGCTCGTACGTCCCAATGCAATTTAATTTTTTGGGATAACTATAAATTTTGTGCCCAAATAAAAAAAAATATATTTGCATTGAATTAATAATTTTTTTTCAATAGAAAATCAAAATAAACTATTTTACTCAATTGTTTTACTTTATTTAACCAGTTGGTTGTACGTGAAATTAATATATATTTATTGAAATAATGTTTTATTTATTTTGATTATCAAATAGTATGTTGCAATATTTGTATAAGAACCCGAAACTATGGACTGGAGAACAGATCCAAGAAAGCATAAAGTTTTCGAGGCTTGTAGTAAGTCTGAACCACTAAATTCAATCATATTAATATAGATCTAAGAAACAGTAAGCTCATATTACTTAACATAACAATCTCATATACATATTATATCCTAGCCCAATTTCAATATTCCAAATATTTCATAACTCGGGCCTATTTGAGTTAACTGGTTCATACATATACTTATATGAATACTTAAAATATCCACATAAGTTCATCGGTTAACATATTCATGTTATACATAATTAGAGTTATGATAATCCTACAACTGCAAAGTTTAATAACAAGTAGATATAGTTAAATTTTTATATAAAAAAGTACGCAATTTAAATAGCGATAGAAATTAGAAGTTATTTTTTTAGCCCTACGGTGAAGGATGCAGAGCTTTAACCGAAACAAAAGAGAATATATGCAACGCCCAAAAATTTTTGAATCTTAAAATGATATTAATTTATCGGGTCATAAATGATGCTGCCTGAGAGGGGAATAATATTTTTATTTAAACCTGAAAAAGATCGTTAGTATAATTAATATTCATGGAGTTAATTAGACTATATGTGATTTGTCTTAATTAATTTAAGTTAAGACATAAATTTTTCGTGACTAATTAAGTAATTAATCATTGATGAATAGTGATTCACAGGTCTGTGAATAGTAACACCCGGCCAAGAATTCGGTATTTTTCGACGAGAAAAAATTATGATTCTTAGCTAATATTTTTAATATTTATTTTGGATCATATATATATATATATATATATATTTTCGACGAGAAAAAATTTATGATTCTTAGCTAATATTTTAATTTATTTTGGATCATATATTATATATATATATATAATATATATATATATATATATATAATTATGATGGTTAGAATTAAGTTATGAATTTATTTAGAGAAATGGAGTAGTTAATGAATAGTGAATTATGGTATTTTTAGTAATTAAAAAAACTTGAGAATTATTTTTATAGAATAATTTTAATATTTATTGTGGAGAAAAATGGAATTTATAGAAGTTATTGTATGAAGGATTTCTAGCCATTAGATTAGGGAGATGTGACCTAATCTGCACCCTTAAAAAACAACTTAGTGAGGAAGCTGGTACTATTTACAAAAATGCCCCTTTAGCAAAAAAAATTCTACAACTTTCCTCTTGCCTCCAATAATGTAAGAAGCCTAGGTGTGCCTTCAAGTTCCACACAACAATTGTTGAAAGCAAGATCATTAAGCTCTTGTGTAACTTGGTCTTGAACATATATAGGAAATGGTGCCCAATATCTCTTTGTATACTTCTTTGTAATTGGTCCAGCTAGGAGCACCAATGGATCTCCTTTTGTTGTTCTCCCCTTCCTTGAGCTCTATGGTTGAGTGGTAGGAAGTATGTATCATTCCCCTTTCATACCGAACGATTCGTCCTCGAATAATTAGTTGAAGTAGCGAATTCGTATCATTCCCCCTTTCCTCGAAACGATTCGTCCTCGAATCTTAGTTAGAAGTTGAGGTACCCATGCTCCCTTGAGCTCCATGGTTGAGTGAGAGCGAATCCATATCAGTATGCTCTTATTTCATGATAATTAACATGTTTGCAAACTCTTGTATAAATACTCTAGCTATAATTTAAGAAATATGAAATTTCTTATGACTTAAGTCATAGAAATTTTTGGGGAAAAGAGAACAAGGTATGTATAACCCATGTGTGATTAAGTTCTCTTACTTTTATGAGTATTTTGGATGATTTTGGATTAGAAAAGAATGCTTCCATCATAAAAATCATGTATGTGATGTACTTCGTTCCTATGACTTGAATTATGAGAATGATTGAGAAATTGCCTTGAAATGTGCATGCTTGGCGTATAAATATGCTTATATGTGTATAAAGGGTGTTTTAGATTAATCTTTTGATAAGTATATGTTTTAAAAGGTAAAAATAACTTTTTAACAAGAATTTCCTATGACAAGTATATTATGTCGAACTATGAATTTTTATGATTTATTTGGAATTCTAAACAAGCATCTAACATGATTTTAAGAATATTAAAGAAAAATAAGTTTCATGAGAAATATTATGATTTTATATATAAAAAAAAAAGATAAGTTTTAGGATTTAATATACTTGGTGTGAATTTAATGTGTGATTTGATTTATTCTGTTATACGAGCATGCTCGACATTTAATGCCACTCTTATATTAACTATGCTCATATGCTAGGCACGTGAGTGCCTTCTATATGAGCAGATATGCTCCATCTATTTCTGTTAGGCTCTTGAAGCCCCTTTGATTCTGTTAGCTTAATAGCCTTTCTGATTCTATTTCTGAAATCTTTTCTATTTCTTTTTCCCCTAAGTGTATGTGAGCCCCACAAGTAAAATATTCAAAACATTTGACTTAATAGCATAATATCTCATAATATGTATATTTGTGAATTATGAATTCCATTCATGATTTAAATGTTTGAAAGCTATGGTTGAATACCTTACGAAAAATGATACAATAATATATGATTATAGTTATATATATGTGTTTATGATAATAAATGGAGATATATAGTATGTTTATGTAAGACTTACATTTAAATGAATTGTATATTTATCTTAAGTTCAAATGATTAAAGAAATGAATGCATAATATGACTTAATGCTTATGGTGAATACTATTGAACTATGGTTTAATATGATATTATGTATCTTGAATATTTATGCATGCATTTTATCCAAGTATTTTGGTGAATATGAGTTACAAATTCATGCTTTATATGTAAGTTGTCATTGCAACATTTGGAGTGTATGAAATTTATGGGCACCACTGAATTTCATATATAGTGCATCGATTTTTATCATGCACAGGTTGTAGACCGTGTTTGCTGCTCGAAGACTAGAAGAGTAGCATTAGAGTAGAAGAGTTCTTTTTATAGTTATTAGTTTAGTAGTATGTATTTAAGATTTATGACATTATATAATTAAGTATTATTGGAGAATGTCTTATATTGAGTATATGTAAACTTAAGTATTATTAGAGTATGATCCAGTTGGCCTATGTATAAGGAGTTAAATATGGATTTATATAATATCTGAATGTAGTAATATCTTCTAAGTTAATTATGTATGGTTTGGATTTATGAGATTTATTATATATATAAATGTCTTAAGTTTGATGCTTACTATGGTGACAATGAGTAAATGCATGATTATGAATCTATAGAAGTTGATTTTGTCCTGAGTTGATTATTGGAGTTTGTTGGATGTTTGAGGTTTTGAATTAGAAGTGTTTGGTATTCACAGGTTTTAGTTAAGTCCAATTTTAAGGGGGAAACTCTTATTATAAGGGGGAAACTCTTGTAGTTTTTCTGTAAGATTTTTCCAAAATAATTTTCTAAATTAAAGTTTAGGACTTACTAGACTTGTGAATACTTAATCACTCTTTATTCATATATTAGTTTTAGATTTGATCTGTTAACTAGAATGGTGTATATCGTCTAACCCTCTGGGATCGTGGGACGGGTGTTACAATCTACTTCCTGAAAAAAAAAAGTTAAACAAAAGAGAAGTGAGTTTGAATAATAGTAAATAATTCATAGCACATGCATTCACGCTAAGTGCTTCCTAAAATGCTAAAATGAACACTCCATCAGTCAAGCACAAGACACAACATTTGGTCTCCTAGCCTCTCTTCCTTGGCTTCGGCGATAGCCTAAGTTTAAATCTTATTGGACTTGGGCTTTTCTTCTTCTGGCTCAGTTTATGGGCTTCTTTTCTCCGTAGATTAACCTCAATTTGGGCTTGTGAAATGAGCTTGTAATATTAGCTCGCAAATTGAGCTTTTTCGGGTCCATTTGCTAATATTTTTGTAGATTTTATAAAGATACATCTTTTTTAAATTTTGAGGTTCCTCCCTGCATAAAACTGTAATTCTACAAATTTTCTAAGGTAAATGTACAAATATAGCCATTTTATTAGTTAATTCAGGGGGATTTTGGTGTAAAAATGTATAAGTTTTTTCATCGTATCAAATTCCTCCGTGCTTAAACTATTGCTTATCATCAGCAATTAAGCTCTATTCTTCTTTTTCTTTAAATTCTGCAAATTAAATATCATCAAGCAATTTCTAAGAAGAATATAAATTCATCTAATAATCAACTCTTATATGCTGATATTATAAATATTTGCAGAAAATACAAAGAATGATCATAACAAGTAGTAGTTCATAGGAATAGGATTTTAAGTAAAAAACTCATTTTAGATTTCATAAGCCTATCCTTAAGAACTGTAACACCCATTATCCAGTCTCATAAGTCTAGATAATAAGTGTCGAAATTATATGCCTAAGGCACAGAGCCACTATATAACTTTTAGACTAAAATCTTCTTTCAATATTATATCTTAACATCCATAATACGACTTAAAAAATTTCTTGAAATTACTACTGAAGGACTGCAAGCATTTTTTCTATATTATAAATATCTCATTATATCAGAAAAATCATTAAAGCACTTCTATAAATCATCCATGATCCAATTATAATTTTTAAATCAAATTCTCTAGTATAATATTCAACATCAATTACAGAATCAATAATCTATATAGAATCCATAATTCATTACTCATAATATTTTCTCATAAATGAATTACTTCAAATATAACATTCAAGAATTTTTAAATAAATGATCTCATAATAACTTAAAATAAATGATCTCATAATAACTTATCCAGGCAACACAAGATTTATAATCATTACTGCACTATCTTATACATATGTCTCTGAGATCATACAATAATTTAGATACAACACTCCATAAATCATCATATTAATATGGAACCTCGAATAATAAACTACATGCCACTAATTCCACAATAAATCAAATCATTATAATTACTTCTAATCTATCCACTGCTCTGAAGCACCCATCTTACTATTCTTCTGCAACCACCATCTATTACCTGCGCATGATAATATTCAACGTGTTAAGTATAAAGCTCAGTGATACTTATTTTCCCATTTCATAGAAAATTACACAAGAATATAATCATAAATTCACAAATTTATATCATAATAAAATCTCAAGGCATAACATGAAACATTTCATAACATAGTCTATTCACAGGCTAATTACATATAGTCAGCATTTATATCATACTTTAATAACATGCCAAAATTTTCATAATTATCATTTAAATATCATAAATTATTTACCAGTTGAAAACAATTATAATCAATAGTTAATAACTATTAAATCACCAATTATAATATTCATCAATCAACATTTAATACACAATCACTTAAATCATACTTCACTAAATTTTAGTGTAATCCCATATATAGTCATATCACCACAACAGACTAGACATATCACCACAACAGACTAGATAAATCAATAATTAGCAGCATGATTAATTATTTATTTAATTACTTAATAACATTAATTTAATGAATTAGCATATACTGTTCAGTTCAGTATTCAAATACGCAGAAATACATATTTAATCATAGCGTCACAATATTCAACATAGTACGACTTAATTCAATCACATAATAAAATATCCATAATTTAGCATGTAATATTAAATTCATAAATCATCCATCAATAAATAAAATCATAACTACATACCTAATCATAGAGTCACATTATTTAGTATAATTCCATAAAAGCAATAATTTAATTCTTAATTTATTTCATAAAAAAAAAAATGCACCTTTAATTAGGCCACTAGCTCACTTAGAAGAATCAGATAGTAGATAAAGAATTTCATAATAAACATATGGCTCGAAAGCCTATATAACATCGTACGACCCGTCAGTTGAAATCAAATGGCTATATCCATAAAATGAGGTTCGTTAGCCTATAAGAGTGGAGTTTGTTAGCTCCTATAAAACGGGGTTCATTAGCCCCTGTAAGGCACTGCGTGTCACATATAGATAGTACTGTTTTTTCTATGGCATGTCATATCTTTATGTTACTACTGACTCGACCAAGTAAATTAGGGCCGGTAAAAAATTTATTATATTTAATTCATTTCATAATTCATCCATATCAACATTTAAAATTTACTATCTTATAAATACACCAGAATCTTTTATTATAATCTGAAAAATATTCTCTTTCATAAATTTCGTTATTCATAAAAACCATAATTTTCCATACTAAATTTTCCATCATAATTTTAATTCCATAAAATCACATATTAAACACATAACCATACTTAAACCTCCTAATTCATATCATGTACATAAAGAATATTTTATTTATATCATGTACATAAAGAATATTTTATTTAATAAAATATTCAATCATGACACTTAAATTCATATCATTTAATTAACTTATCAATTATATTATGTTTTCACATAATCATTTTTGATTCGTGAATTGACACAATTTTCAAGACTTTGACACATTCACAAAGCATTAAATCCAACATGACAAATGACCGCTTAATTTATCCATAATTTCCATATTCTCCTATATTCTCATAATTAAAACTTAAATTGATCAATTAATAAATTAATTGATCCAATTAGGATTATTAAATCCACTAATTTATTTTAACTACTAAATCATTCTAATAGCTACTAATTAACTTAATAGCATAAAATTATATTATTTTCCTTATTTACCATTAGCTCACATAATTAATCTAAATATCCTTTTTAATCATTTAATCAATTAATTATACTACACCTAATCAGTTAATTAAGTCCTAATAATTATCACCATCAATCTTAGTTAATTATCATCCTAATTATAGTCAAGTCCATAGTAACTCTATAGTTAGTCCTTAAATCATTCATTTGTTCTGTTAACTCCTCAAAGCATAGGTATTGTGCCATGAGTCCATGGATCATATCCAATTTATCATTGAGATTTCATAATTGGGCTTTGGCCTAATGGTTTGACCCAATTATCATTTAACTCCAATTATATCACTTAATTCACTAATAATCACATTAGACTTACAATTCATATCATATAACATCATTGACATTTTAATTACATATTATAAAATTAAAATATACTATTTGCACCCTAAATCCATTTTAATTAACACATATCAACATAAAAACATGATTAAATCATCATACTTCATGAGACTTGAAACCCACCTTAATATATCTTTAATTACCATAAATAAATAATTAAAAATAAGATATTAAATATGAAATAGTGAGATTAAATATAAATAGTGAGATACCATAAATAAATAATTAAAAATAAGATATTAAATATGAAATAGTGAGAGGTAGCAGCCCCCACACTTAATTCCAAGTAAAAATACATCAAAATACTTTTTTCTCATCAATTTGGACATATACCATATTCTTATCACCAAACCACAATTATATTTCATTTTAGTGATCAAGATAATCATTTTTAACAGGGACAGTCCTCTAAATGATCAAATATCTAAAGCAAAACACAAGGAAAAATTACTTATTTTGCACAAATAAGCTCATATTACATCTATACCATAAAATCATAAAAGCTATCCACCACAATATCAAAATAACTAGAAAACCATGAAAAATATAGGGGGGACAACCCCTACATTTTTGGACTAGGATTAAACACTAAAAATAAATTATCACGTAAAGCATATTAAGCTAAAAAAATTTAAGCATAGATCAAGGCGTAGGTAATATAAAAACTATATTTTCTTGCATAATAACATAAAACCAAACAAGAAACTTCTAAAATATCTAAAATGATGGAAAATAGCACAAACATCGAAAATACTAGCCTCTAACAACTCTTTTTCCTTATTCTTAGAGGTAAAACCTTTTAAGAAAGAAACAAATATAAAATAAATAAATACACTTAATGAAAAATAAAATCTAAATGCATGAATTACATAAATAAATATATGAGAACTTATTTCTAGCCTTAGTTTGAAAAATCACTAAGATTTTAGATGAGAAAGAAAGAGGTAGAATAGGTTTTAGTGAGAGAAAACTTACCAAATGGTGAAAATCTGAGATTTTGATGCAAGAGGTCACTTCCTCAGCTTAGGTACTTACATATTTTTGCTTGAACTTGTTCAAAAATGGTGTCTTTGATGGTGTTTTGAAAAAAAATGGATAGAGGGAGAGAGAGCTTGCATTTGGGTGGCTAGGGTTTTGATGAAGAAGAAGATGAGTTGTAGCACATTCGATTATTTAGGTTTTAGATGACTTTTAGGCACTTTGGTTATTTTTCCAAATGGACGGTGGAGATTAGATCTTAAAATCTCATCCAAAGGCTCATATTAATTCATTAATAGCAATATGGTAATTTGCCATTGTGTAGAGACAAGATTGATTTAGTTAATCGTCTTATAGATAAAAGGCTAGGATTAGTTTTAGGTTCCTCTCATCCTAAGGCTAGAATTAGACACTACACTAAGTCTAACTATACATTATAAAACTCTATATTTACACATGTCATGCCATAAATTAATTCTCCATATAATAAAATTACTAAAATAATTTATGACACCATAACTCACCTATATGAGCATAAATCACATTGTAATAAATTTCTCTAAACATTTGAAATTACTAAACTACCCCTATGAAATTATTTACTAATAAAATAATTGACCATAAGAAATTCATATTTCAAAGTTAATTAATCAAGACGAATATAAAGCCTAATTAACTCCATAATTATTAATTATGATTAATATTCTTCTTGGGTTAAATAAATATCATTTCTCTATCTGACAGTATCATTTATGACCTGGTATAGTAATACCATTTTAAGACCTAAAATTTTTTGGGTGTTACAAGCACTCTTCTCCGCTAATTAAGAATTTGTCATCCTTTAGAATCAACAGGTCTTTTCCAGAGTTATAATGAGGTTCTGGAAAAAATTGGGTTTACAAAAAAAAATTATTTTAAGCTCAAGTAATATGTGATTGATATTTTTAGTAAAAATTCTGACAGTTCTTTTTTCCTTTTCAATCACATTTTCTCACTTTTCCTCTTCAATATAAATTTTCTTGGAATTTTCTTTCTTTTTTCTTATTTCCTTATTAATTGGGAACTTTGAATTTTTTTTTTCTTTTTCTTCTTTTCCTTCTTTTCCTTTCTTTCTTTTGCTTTGAATTTCCCATTGGTTTTAGATTTCTTTCAGGGAATCAACTTTGTTCCTCAAAAATCATGAATTCCTATCATTTTTTATTTTTTAACTAGAAAATATAATTCATATAAGAAGGGTAGATAAAGGCTTTTAAGCTTAGTGATTTATATTTTCCGGGTTTCCTCAAGAAAAGAATTCAGATTTCTAAGGCTCAAAGGGGCTTATCGAGGGTTAATATTTATAGGGTTGGAAAAATTCTATCGGTCCTTGATGCAGTTTATTCAAAGAATGCCTAGATCATTTTCTTAAGGATACACAAAATTCTTTTCTATTTCGCCTCAAAGAGTTATAAAGAAGGTTCTAGAACCTAAAGGAATGAATATTTTCTTATTAGCTAATTGACTTATTACAACCAATTCTTTAGAATTAACCACAAGAAATAATGATGCATAATCAACATATTCGGAGTTAACTATTGAAAGAAAATTTATTTCTTCTTTAGAAATAGAAAATAAAATTTTGAGTTCTATCCTTAAAATAATTAATAGTTGATTTATTGAAAAGAAAGAATTTTTCATAATATTTGTGAGGAAAAGTAACAAATATTAAGTGAAAAATTTTTAAAATTTTGAAAATTTTTTGAAAATTTTGAATAATTTTTATGATCCCTGTTTTCGCACCGCCCCCGAGCGACACGAAGAACGCTCGATTTATTAATTTATTTTGTCGGAAATGTGATTTTTATACAAGTGGTGACAAAACCTTTTAGGTATTTTGTGGAAAATGTGATTTTTTATACAAGTGGTGGACCAAAACCTTTTTACGGAACCCGATGACCGATAAAATCTGTCTGTTAAAATATTTTGACGGTCGCCACCCATTTTCTTCGGCAATGGGACCGTTTTCCAATTTAAATGACTTCATTTATCCCAATTTAATTTAAGGCCAATTATTTTTTAAAAAACCGCACGCCCGAAAATCGGCCTCTTTAACCTATAATTTCTTAAATTTATTTTTAGTTAGGAAAGCAATTTATTTATTAACCCAACCTGAGTAATCAGACCGAGTCCTATGTGGAAGTGCATTTAATCGTCCCAAATAAAGTCATTCATTACATTCATAAATCATTCAAACCACATTAACATTTTCAACCCATAGCAATCAAGTTAAACTATCAAGACACCCGCCTCTTGCCTTAATGGTTTAAAAGCGCGGCACAAAACCGACCTAAATACATTCTACCCAACTTAATTCCGAATAAAGCCTAAAAACCCGAAAAATCATGGCCCACATGTATAATTAATGTGCTTGATTAAATCGCTTGATTAAATCGCAATCTGCCTACTATTAGTTGTATCTTGAATTATAAAAGGAATTGAATATTTATTTGATTGCACAAAATAAAAAGATGACAATTATTCCGGAACCCTAGGCAGTTGCGTCACGCAGCTGTTCTATTGAAGAACAGTCGCGTGACGGAACTCATAGTTGCGTGACGCAGCTGTTTGTGATTTTGGAAAAACCTTCAGATTCATCAATCGTTTGTTTGGAATATAATATTAAGTAAAAAGATAAAAGCAAAATAAAACCATAAACATGAACAGTTCCGTCACGCAACTGTGGTAATGTCAACCTTCTTTGGACATGAACAGTTTCGTCACGCAGCTTGTAGCTGCGTGATGCAACTGCTCTGGTCCGTAAACTACCTTTCAAACAATTCCTTTTACGGTTTTTTACTTTTTTTATGAAAACTTGTTTTAATATAAACTCAGACGTCCATAATAGGCAGCAGTACCGTTTCATCCAATACCAGGCTTACCCCAAATATCAACAAATAGATCATCAACAATTAATTAACTACAAAAATATTTACCAAGAACGTTTAGATAATTACCTAACCTCAGATTTGAGGGATTGAACAATCAGAACGTTAGGAGCAAGGTTTCAAGGTCCCAGATCCTTTTTGCCAAGGTTTTAACAAAATTCTTTCCCTTTTTGTTCTTCCTTTTTTCGTCTTTTGTGTGATTTGTTTGTTTTCAACCCTAATTAATCTCTAAACGCTGATCTTCTTCAACATAACTCAATGGATTATCAGTTTTTTGTAGAAAACCTTTAGCCGGTCAGTTATTTCTCTCTCTCGGTTTTTCTCTCCCAAAAATCTTTTGCTCTCCAAAATCTGCCTCTTTAAGTAAAAACCTATTTTTATGAGGTAGGGGCCAATTGAATATAGTGCGTCACGCAACTAACAGTTTGCGTGACGGACCGAGGAGCCGCGTGACGCAGCTCACTTTCTGAGACCGTTGCCACGTATCCAAACAGAATGCCAAAAAACGTATCCAAACAGAATGCAAAACCGTTATTGTCGGCTTTCAGGGTGACATCACCTTAATTGGAGCTGCGTGACGCAACTATCAGTGCCGTCACGCAACTTATAGCTGCGTGACGTGACTCTAGTGCAAATCAGATTTCCTTGAATTGGTTTAAATCGATCCTTAGTTTAAAGACTTCCAGGTAACCATGATTCCTTATTCCGCGTCCTCGTATCCTCATCGGGTTAGGCGGGGGCATAAAGACACACGTCAACAGTTTGCCCCCCCACCACTTTATCATTAATTGTATAAACAATTAATGGTAAAGTGGTCCATTGACGCACCTTCAATTTGGTAATCATCCTCAAAGCTCGGTTTGATTGGCTTGAAAGATGTTGGGTTGACTTGATCATCTGGCCACCTCCTCAGCTCGGTTTGATTACCTCCTCAGCTCGGTTTGATTGGCTTTTATTAGCTCCAGTCGGATCAGTAACAACCTCCAAAATTCGGTCTGATTAGATATGAAGATACCTTCGAGGCTCGGTTTAATTGGCTCGAAGGGTTTTAATTGCCCTGGTCAACTTCGTAATTCACCATCATTAACCAGGAAGATAGTCTAGACAGCTTCATAATACACCATCACTGTTTGGTGAGACCTTATCGGCTTTGAAAAACCATCATCGTTTGGTCATTGAAATTGTCCTGATCAGCTTCGCAATATACCATCACTAATCAGTAAGAGGATTGACTCGATCAGCTTTGACTCGATCAGCTTTCGCAATACACCATCGCTAATCGAGAAAAATGATCAAACAGCTTCGTTAATACGCCATCACTGTTGGTGGGCCCTATCGGCTTCGAAGAAACCATCACCGGTTGGCTGAAAAATTTGTTCAGGGAAAAAGAGGCAATTTACTGTGTACAAACAGATCTTGGGACACTTTGATTAAATGTTGGGGCGTCACATGCCCCCTATGCGATTAAATAATCATAACTTTGAATTTTGCCATCAGGCAACAAGATTCCAATTTCTGTGTACAAACAGATCTTGCATTTGTTAAATGTTGGGGCGTCACATGCCCCCATGCATTAATAATCATAAACTTTGAAATTTTGCATCAGGCAAAAGATTATACTTTTGCCCTCGGTCCGGAATTCCGACTCAGGATAAAAAATATTATCTTTTCAGGTAAACCTTTAATGTTTATTGTAAAATTTGGTTTAAAAGTTTAGCAAAAATTTAGCAAAAATTTTAAGCCTGAATTCACAGGTATACCTTTCTTGATGCAGTATTTGACAGAAAACTTACCTGAGTGTAATTTGGGTAATTTGATGCTCCTGCCTCCTATGCGGTGAGTAGACAAAATTGCTGAAGGATACGAATTGCATACTAATGTCAAATTGCTTGAACGGGTCACTATGGGCTTTAAATGGGCCGTTTGGGCCCTTGTGGGCTTGAGGGGGTTAATGAGCCCCCTTTTGGGCTTGACAAAGTGGTAATGGGCTTGGGCCCATTGCCTACTATAAGTAAGCTGCTTAAACATTTCATTTTTACTTTCCAAAACTCTAAGCTTTTTGAAAACACTCTGAACTTCAACCAAAATGTCTCAACTTCCCGAGATCCTAGCCTCCGCCTACACACTGGAGATGAACACACTGGGGGCGATCCCGGACATCCCGGTCTTCCAGGGTGAGCGGGTACTGGTCAGCCGTAACGCCCTGACTCCAGGGACACGACCGCTGCAGCTGCTTCCGTTGCCGGGCATCGAGTTCCCGGTTCGACACGAGACCGACGCGATGCACGGTTTCCAGATTGAGGTAAGTAACTTTGCCCTTGAATTTTTTTTTTGTTTTCGATTGCATTGTGAGCGAATTGTTGAATTTTATATACTGTCTGTGCGTCGG